CTAACCCTGGGTTAAAATTTAGCCTGCTGTTTTAGTTTGTGTATTTCTACACGCCTGTTTATTTCAAAACTTCAAAGAAGAAAACTCCTATTGATCCATACAAGATCTCTGAAGAAATATTTCCAAATTTATAGACAAGCTATCAGGAAGTTTGCTTTGAAGTTTAGGTTAACCTAGGGTTAAGCTAATCCACCCTTGAACAACTGGCCCCTGGAGAAAAATTGATTGTACAGTCTTAAATTTATCTATATGTGTAACCTATCATAATTATATATTTACTAATAAATACATTTACTATTCTGATCTAATATTTCTTCGTATTAAATTATTATGGCTTCAAGTGAACATGATAGAGGTACAGTTGCAGCAACGTGATGTTGCAGAAGTAAGAGGAAATAGTTTCATGCAAGAGATAAATCTCACTTGGTGGCAGTTATGTGACATACCTATTTGGTAGATAATATACAGATACTTTTATCTGCAGGGAAACTATACTGTCACATAACTGTGACAGATATGTTATTGGGCCAAATTCCTATATGTTGCAGATATGTGACAGATATCTGTCATATAACTGTGACAGATATCTGCCACATAACTATGACAGATATCTGTCACATAACTGTGACAGACATGTTATGGGGCCAAATTCCTATATGTTGCAGATATGTGGCAGATACTTTCGAACATATATTTTGCGGATATTTTACAGAACTGTGACATATATCTGTCACATATCTGTCAGTTTGGTAAGGGTATAGACAAGCACAAAATCACGAGACCAGAAATATTTGAGTAGAGGAGGCCCACCTATGTGTGTCAATATTAGGCTGGATCGATATCGCAAATACCGAATACCGATATACCGCCATCAGAATACCGGTATTCCGGTATTTTTAACGAGTTTTTTTTAAGCCAAACTGAAGTGCTGACCGTCAAGAAAAATCAAGTTTTGACAAAATATTAATGTGGCACATACTGTTATTAGTGCAAATGTCACAAGATTCGCATTATCAAGCTATGTTAACAATTAACAGCGCTAAGCGGCAATTATTTAATAGTAGGCCGTCGATTGGGCGTCGAAGTGTTGAATCATTCAGAAAAATATTCGTTTTGTATATAAATTCAGATAGTGTTTCAGTAAGCTGCTAATAGTTATAAACATAAAAAAACGTTGCATTTTTAAAACTAACACAAACAAGTTAGCAAGCATGTAAAAAAACTTGAAAAGCCAGAAAAGGTTTTCGCTGCTTCGCAAATGCTAGTACTTCCACCTTCCAAAATCAAAGTTTTCTTTTTTGTCGAAATTTTCCTTTAAAAATTTCGCCATTTTTATATTTCCGATTAAGGCGATTTAATAAACAAGACGTCTGGTATTGCTAAACCAAAGCCGCTAGAACTGTAAGAACAAAATCATGCATCTGTGAGTATCAACTTTGCTTTCTAAACGTGATTGTAAGCAAGTTTGACTTGAAAGAGCGTTTCATTTCGGTATTAGGCAGTAAAATACCGAAATGTCGGTATATCGGTATTTTTAAATTGTCAATATCGCCAAACCGGTATCTAAACAAATACCGGTATATCGGATATATCCGGTATATCGATCCAGCCTAGTCAATATATGCCTGTCCTGATGAGCCCTGGAGACCGTCTTTTTTTGTTTTACACTGTCTGTGTAATACCAGACGATTTTAAGGGGAGACTGCTCACTGCTGTCACTCAGTGGGTTAAATATACTATCTGCCAATGAGCATGCAGCCCCTGAGATATAGTTAAGCAGCAATGTGCCCAAATGAACCCAGGCATTCTTATTTTACTCAAAGGGAAGAGTCTTGGGGTAGAAAATAGATACTCACTTTGCCATTGTCTGTTCAGAACCACATACACAGTATGATGTGATAGTTACATGGCAAGAAAAAAAATGTTGCCCACAAGCTGTTGGGATTAGTGAGTCACTATCGATGCACTAACCAGGTAATTAATTCAGAATATGCTACGTACAACATTTCTAACATTGGAAGAGGTGATGTCTGATTGGTCTGTGAGAAACTATGATGAAATTTGCTAATAATAGAATTCCATTCCTGAATATGGAAACATGACACTTCATTTTGAAGCTCGGGATCATTATGGTTTTGGTAAAAACAGATCATATATTGCACCATAGTGGCAGCATGCTCGCCCCTTGACTAGTAAAATTGTCTGACATTAGACTGTAAAATAATACAGTAATACTACTAATACAGTAAGACACATTGCCACTTGAAGGGTTAATATATGTGTATTTATTATATAGTAGAGAGGGAGATACTGAAAAACACACATTGAAATATTTTACATATCTTCACTAGTGCATCAAGATATCGATCACATGACTTTTTCCAATTTCACAATTTTTTGCTTGGGACTATATATAATAAACAGAACATTACATGGTGGCTTGAAGATATGACTTTTGTCTTCTCGTGTTAAAAACAATATTTTACTCACTTGCTGTGCTCGTTCGTAAAATTTTGTTTTCACCACTCGAAGATCTTCACGCTGCTGTGTAATATCCTCTATATACATGCATATGATATTTTTCATTTTCATGGTGTATAAAGATGTATATAAATGTATCATGATAATAATGTCATCTTTTATTTTGCAGAAATTATCTGTTTAATGCAACACAAGAGATGGCACAGGCATCAACATACAGAACATCAAAATGAAGTTATAATTATAATACCATAACAACATAATAAATAATTATATGATTATAATAACTTTATTGAAGTGTAAATTTTTACAACAAGGCACAATCATGCTCCACTAAATTAGGAAGAATTAAAATTATACATTTTTTAATTGTTTGCTGCTAGTTAATAGAGGCTACAAAAAAGTCAAATACTGTACATCCTTCCAGAAAGTATGCCACTTTGACTATGGAGCCTCGTTTTTGTGTATTTGACATGTCTCAATCATGAAAATGAGACTCTACAGCCTATAACCAAGATGATATACTTTCTGGAAGCATG